CGAAACAGCCGATTGTTTAACATTAAGATTGCCAAATCGCATTTATCAGGATGGAGAGGCATGGAAGCGAGTGCAAAGCTATACAGCGTGGAAAGAAAAGGGATTCATAAAAACTAATTTTTGTCAGAGTACAAGAAGATGATATTCTCCAAGACCCTAGGCAGATTTAAGGTGAAGTCTAGACTTTGAACAGTCGTCGGACAACTTGCCTGTTATAACTCCATTTATAGAGTTCTTTTCATGGCAGTTGGAACTCATGGAAGGGACCTCAGTTTTTGTATCAGGTTTGCTACACAAAACGGGCTCATTTTCTTCTCGAATATCACTCAGCTCCTTCATCCGACCGGTCAAAACACGGAAGCAGAGCTTCAGGATAAACTGAATCGGTAAAGTGCGAATAGGGAACAAAATGTGCTGAAAATGGGTTCAAACCAGTTGATAAAAATAAAGAAATCTAAATATGTTCTTATTACCCTCCTTATATGGCTTAGGTATAGCAGAGGAAGGCAAGAAATGCCGCAATTGAGACTGTAAAGAATGCCTAAAATTGTTATTCGCTTTTATTTTACAAACAATTGCATACTACTATTATACTGAATTTTAGTAATGTGTATTTGAAATAAGAGGCTAGTGACCAACTTACCCAAGACCAGTAGATGTGCATGAACTGCAAAGAGATTAGCAGTACATTGATAACCAGGTAGAACCTTGGATGTCCTCCTTTGTGTAGGATGTAGACGCACCAGTTGGTGATGTGCAGCACTCGTCTCGGGTAGAGATAGAGCCGAAGGTAGAACCTGACAGGGAAAAGATACAAAAAATAACAATCTTTGAAGTGCAATGTTGGTGTGATCAAAACAAAGGCAGCTGCCAAGATTTAAGGCGGATCTAAGCTAAAAGTCAGGCTAAAATGTGTAATAAAACAAGATAAGAAATGCCATACTATCGTGTTTAATAAAAAATAGCGCATGTGCCGGCATGACGTGTCGAAGAGGCTGTGTAAAGAACTCTTAATCAAGATTTATTGAAGGCCTCGAATACCTACTTCCAGTGAATATAAATGTTGCAGTCGATTGTAATTGCAAAGTACAAGTTTGACATATCGACAATCATACTAAATTGTCCATATTCTAGTCCAGTCGAGATAAGAACATTTTTTTTGAAGCAAAGCTATGCGAGATTCAATTGAAATGTGGGAAAAAAGTCCACTATCAATC